AATTTATATGTAATATATAAAAATTATATATAATATGTCCCATATATATCTTCCAGAATTAAAAGCTCTAAGTATCCAGATTGAAAAAAATATATAATTTATATATAATTTATATGTAATATATAAAAATTATATATAATATGTCCCATATATGTCTTCCAGAATTAAAAGCTCTTAAGTATCCATATTGAAAAGGAAAAGAATGTTTCCTTCACAATCAATAAAAAAAGATGCACAACAAGGCATATTTTTTCATTTCCCTGATTTTAATACATCAAGGAAAGGGAAGATTCGGAGAACCTCAGGGAGGATGGGAAGGCATATTCTGAATAAAAGAATGAGAATTAGGATTTCATTATGCTCTTCATAGGCTAGGGTTGCCAGATTTGGCAATAAAAATATAGGACATCTAGTTAAATTTGAATTTAAGATGAATGAGTAATTATTTAGTGTAAGTATATCCCAAATATTACAAAGGATATACTAAAAAAATTGTTCATCTGATTCACATTTAACTGGGTGAGTTTAAGTCACCCAGCGATCCTACAGTAGCAACAATGGGTGTTAACTCTGGTAAGAACATTCAAGTAAGCATTATTTACTTGTCCCCTACTGTAAGAAACCAAATAAAGTAACAAGGAGAAAAACAAAAGAGCAACAGCAGAACACCCTGTCCTGCTATTTTTAGTAAAATAGGCAACAGATAATACCTGCAGAAACCAAGGACTTTTAAAGTTGCTATTAGAAGGAAATTTTGAAGAAATTGTACAGAGACATCAAGGCTCCTCATGAGTAGCAGATCTCAGAAAGTACCAGCAAAAGTATACTTCGTGAAAAGGAGAAACTCATCCAGAAATGCAAATTCCTTAACCTGTAAATCTAACAACTGAGGGGTGAGCTTCAGAAGAAGTCAAGAGGTTGGGATACAGAGAAAATACACAGAGAGTATCTAAGAGGGCTCCTAGCAGCAGATCTCAGAAAGATCCAGCAGAATCTTACTCTATGAAGGTCGAGGGCTCATTGGTAAATGCAAGGGCCCTGTACTATTTGCCGCTGCTGGTGAAAGGTCTGGGAATGCAGGGCTGGTGACAGAAATCCTTCCAGACTCAGCTTGGGTCAGAGGACCAAAGGGAACAGGGCTACACAAAATATTTCTGAGGGGAGTCATCGTGGCTGCAATCAGTCAGTGGTCTCTATGACAGTGAAGAGAGGGCCTTAGAAAGGTCTGAAGCCCGGCAGGGAGCCCTGGCCCCTCTCACCAACCATAAACTCAAATGCAAAAGCTGGACCAGGAAAAAACAAGTCATTATAAATAAATGTTGAAGAAAAGCTATGGCACAATATTAGCACAAAAATTTTGTAAGTAAAAATGTGAAAAAGCTGCAAAAATGACAAATGCATTAAAGACATTCACAAAAAAGGTATGTAATTATCATCTCCATGTAGGAAGACTGCAGAACACACATGTAGAAACTCATACATTAGTAAATTTTTCTTTGACACTTTTGCAGGGCTAATTGTGGATTTAGAAAGTCCTTGTCCTTCAGATAACAGAAAAATATTCGTGTATTTTTTTTTATTCCAGTCCAATTTTTACATTTTATTAATCTGGAATTTTTTATGAAATATAGTTTGAAGTAGGAATATAATTATTCTCATTCACCAGTTAACTCAGTATCATTCATTGAATAAACCTTCCTTTCCCTGCTTATTGAAGGTTCTACTTTAATCATATTCTAAATTTGTATGTATATGAATACATAATACATGTGTACATATACACATACATATATATCAATTGCTTTTTGGGCACTCTCTTCAGTTTCAATCTTTTCCCTGGATTTTATACCTTAATAAGAAACGAGCAAATACTTTTTTATGTTTTCAATGAGATTTATTTATATTTAAGTAAAAGTAGCAAATGTTAATATAAGTTATTTCCTTAATCATATTTATTTTGTACGACCACATTGTTATCAAGCAGCATTATGGAATGTTCCCTGGGTCCACAGTTCTGAACTTTCCAGCTATTATATGCATCCTCTTTTCCAAGTTTAAACATGACCTTGTACACTGAAGAAGCATGGCTTGTTATTGCAAAGTTGTCATGTGTGACAACCTGACATCACAGGAGAAGCTTCTTGATGAAGAATGTTTTATCTTTCATTCATTTACAAAGTGGTATTTTTCTTTTTATGTGATTATCCAACCCATGAGATTTTGTTTTCAATTCTTTTTTCTTCTGATACTATGAAATCAAACCAGTTAAAATCAAGCAGTATAGCAATAAAACCAACCAAATACATAGGATGTTATCTTATATAGGATATTTTAGATGATATTTATGTTTTATAGTACACATCTGTATTTAATGTACTTGGCAATAAAAAGTTAGAAGCATGTAAACAAACAAAAAAATTCAAATCGATGCATTGTTTTAACACTCACAAAAACCTGGGTTTATTTCTTTTTCAGGAGTGCAGTGGAATAGTTTTATATTAAAATAAAAAGGTCTTGCTGCCTTTTTTTTGGATTCTTATTTTATACATTTTTAGGTAACAGAATAATCCTGTAATTTCATTGCAAAAACACCATTACTTGGTTAGATATGATTATCAGATTTTAGGCCAACTTTGCTTCCCTCACATTCATGAACATTGATTATTTCACTGTTTACTTTTCCAAACATGTGCTTATGCTAAAGATCTAAAAACTAAAATGGGGAGTCATTGGTAATAATAAATGTACAGTGATTGAGAGGACAATGACAAATCTTAGGGGCTGAGGTTTTTGTTGCTATGATGAGTTCTATTGTGTTAAGTTAGCTGTGCAGAGAAACATTTGGGGACAGGAAAATGCATTATTTCCAAGAAACCATATTGCATGCTTAATTGACTGCTAGAAATTCTCTGGTTTGATGCATCACTGATATTAATGATGGAATCTACATGCAACTTCTTCAGCAAGCTCGTTGCTCCATCAAGAGCCAGCGATATTACAGATGTCTCAAACAGCCTGTCACTATGTGTCTCTGTGCTCACCGCCAGGGAGGTTGCAGATTCTCCTACAAAATCCAGTGTTAGATTCAGAACTGAAGGTATTTTATTTCAGTTACCTACAATACCTATCAAAGACAAATTAAAAAAAAAACAGCAAATTTTGTTAGAGTTCTTATAGTACTTTTTATAGTTACATGAGTTATTTTTGTGTCTAGTACAAATTTTTGCTTAAAAATACAAATTGTTAATAGGAACTATTATTATTGAGGTGACTTAGAAATTATTTTATGATCTATTCAGAGGAATTCCAGCATAAACAACAGTTAAAATATTTACATATATTTTTATCTCAAATGACTTAAAAAAACACTTTGTATTAGGTAAAATTTCAAACCCACAAAGTAAAATGAACCATCCCCACATACCCATCAACCATCCTAAAAGATTATCAACAATTCTGTTTGTCTTTCTTCAGTAACATTTGTTGATTGTTTAAATAGCAGGCAGTTACCCAAATCTGGTTTACCTTTTTCAAAATTCACAAAACCCAAGTGAGCTAGGTTAGAGGCAGGTTACTATAAAGCTAATAAAGCTTGTTTGCATGAGTACCTTCCGATATGTTCACATGTGTATATATTTTTGTTAAATTTGCAAAAGTTAGATATTTCAACCATAATCGGTTAAGACGACTGTCTTTCCCTTTCAATTGTCCAATTTCAATTCAATTCCCTTTCCCTTAGTCATATTTTCTCCTCTGATTATAACCAGGGGGTGGCAGTGGGCATTTCTGAGATTTTGTTAAGGGATATATTTATTTTTGTGCTTTGCTATCTCTTCTATGTGTAGTTATATTAATGGTGGCCATTCCAGTTTTCAGTGTCTTCTAGCAAAAATATGAATATGGTCAATTCAGAGAATAAGAGGGCTCACTCCATAGAAAATTTGAAATGCCCTGAAATCTTATAGCTCAGATATCAGAGAAACTTAATAGAGGTTTCCCCAAATTTGACAACAATCTTAAAACTTACATTGCTACTGAAGAGTTAGAATTTGAAAGAAAACTCTGTAAAGTGTAAAAAAAAAAAAGCAATTTTTCATCCACTATGCTAGAGGACAGTCCAAATTATTTTTTATTTTTTCTATTGCAAAGTTGTCAAATGAAAAGTTAGTCAACATGTATGCAACCCCCAAAAAGTAAGATAAATGTATTATAGAGCTGTTAGTAAAAATATTATGTAATTCCCCCTACATTAAGTGATATTTGAGAAATTTGTTAACTTTTAAACATTATATCATTTTGGGGCATCTAGCTAGTTCAGTCGGTAGAGCACATGACTCTTGATCTCAAGCCCCCCATTAGACATGGAGCCTACACAGAGTTGTAACTGATTGTGTATTTATAATTTTGTGTTTCTTTTCTTAAAGTGAGTTCTCCAAATACTATTAAGCCTTAGGTTCTACAAATCCTGGACCCATCCCTACAGTAGATAATATTATTATCCCTGTTTAAATTAAAATTCAGAGAGGTCAAGTGACTTTCTGAAGGCCACACATTTGTCAAGATGTAGAGCAGGCTTTTAAACCAGACTTTCTGACCCTAAAACATAGAATTTTGTATGTCATCTTGGCTAAGCTATGATACCAAGTTGTCTAGATGTTGCTGTGAAGGTATTTTTTAGATGAGATTAACATTTAAGCAGTAGATTTTCAGTAAAGCATATAACTAACCCTCTATGATATAGATGAGTCTCACCCAAGCAGTTGAAGGCCTTAAGAGAAAGAGTGAGGTCCTTTGAGTAAGGAGGAATTCTGCCTTCACACCACCTTTGAACTCAAGACTGCAGCATCAACTCTTCCCTGGGGCTGCAGCCTACTAGCCTGTCTTGCAAATTTTGGACTCACCAGTCCTTACAGCTGTATGTGCCAATTCTTTCAATGTCTCTTTATAAACATCCTATTGGTTTTGTTTCTCTGGAGAACCATGACTAGTGCAATAAGACATACAAAGGACTCTGGGACTACATCAAAATAAAAAGCTTTGGCACAGTGAAGGAAACCATCAGCAAAACAAAAAGGCAACCTACTGAATAAGAGAAGATATTTGCAAATGACCTATCCAATAAAGGGTTAATACCCAAAATATTTAAAAAACTTATACAACTCAACACCAAAAAACCCCCCAAACAATCCAATTCAAAAAATTGGCAGAAGACCTGCACAGACATTTTTCCAAAGAGGACATACTGATAGCTAACAGACAAATGAAAAGATGCTCAACATCATTAATCATCAGGGAAATGCAAATCAAAGCCACAGTGAGACATCACCTGACACATGTCAGAATGCCTAAAATCAAAAACACAGGACAAACAAGTGTTGACAAGGATTAGAGAAAAGGGAACCCTCATACACTATTGGTGGGAATGTAAATTGGTACAGCCACTGTGGAAAACAGTATGAAGTTTCCTCAAAAAAATAAAAAATAGAAATACCATATGATCCAACAATCCCACTACTGGGTATTTACCTGAAGAAAACAAAAACAGTAATCTGAAAAGATATACATACCCTTATGTTTATTAAGGCATTATTTGTGATAGCCAAGATATGGAAGCAATCTAAGAGTCCATCAATAGACAAATGGATAAGGAGGATGTAGTGTGTGTACACATACACACACACAGAGACACTTTGGAATATTATGCAGCCATAAAAGGACAAGATTATGCCATTTGTGGCAACATGGATGGACCTAGAGAATATTATACTAAGTGAGATAAGTCAGGCTGAGAAAGACAAATACCATATGATTTCTCTCATATGTAGAATCTAAAAAACAAAAACAAAGGAATAAACAAAAGCAGAATCATACCTGTAAATACAGAGAACAAACTGATGGTTTCCAGAAGGGTTAGGGTGAGGGATGGGCAAAATGAGTAAAGGGGCTTGGAAGATACAGGCTTCCAGTTATGGAATGAATAAGTCATGGAAATAAAAGGCACAGCAAAAGGAATACAGTCAATGGTATTATAATAGGGTTGTATGGTAACAGATGGTAGCTACACTTAGGGTGAGCATAGCATAATATATAAACTTGTTGAATCACTATATTGTATACCTGAAACTAATGTAACATTTTGGTCTCAAAAAACTAATAAAAAAAAGTTCTTCAAAAAATACAAAGAACTATATGTTAGTGTTGACTCTCTAATAGCTACTAATCATAAAATCTTGGCAATTCATTTAACCTCTTTAGGTTTAGTCTCATTATCTCCAAAGTAAGGAAGTCATTTTAGACCAGGATTTCTTAATTTTGGGTTAGGTAATACTTTGTTGTAGGGGGGACTGTCCTGTACTTTGTAGGATGTTTTGCAACATCTGTGGCTCTGTCCACTAGATGCCAGTAGTTCACCCAGTTGTGACAACCACATATCTCTCCAGACATTTTCAAATATCCCCTAGTTGAGGGGCAAGGGACAAAAGTTCCTCCCATCGTATTTGAGCACTGCTCTATTAGGTCATCTTTAAGTTATAATATATGCATATGTAATATTGTAGAGATTAAACTGGTTGAGGCAGCTTTGGAAACTTCAGGAGAAAGCTGTTTGACCATTTAGTGGGATGTTACAGAGGTGATATTTTAATATTCTATAATTCTTTTTTTTAAAAGATTTTATTTATTTATTTTGACAGAGAGAGAGACAGCGAGACAGCGAGAGAGGGAACACAATCAGGGGGAGAGGGAGAGGGAGAAGCAGACTCCCCTCTGAGCAGGGAGCCCGATGTGGGGCTGGATCCTAGGACCCTGGGATCATGACCTGAGCCGAAGGCAGACACTTAACGACTGAGCCACCCAGGCACCCCAATATTCTATAATTCTTATAAATAAAGTTTTCGTTAGTTCCTATAAGAAAGAAGCAAAAAATGGAGAAAAGCCTGAAAGATTGACAACATGAAGCTCTTGGCAGTGAGCTGCAGGCAACTTGAGGGCAGTCACAGGAATGAGAGATAATAGGTACAAAGGGGGGGGGGGAGGATGGAATTTAGCGCTTATCCTCTCAGAAACGAATCTTAGCTGGGAAATGATTGTTGTTTCAAATCCAAGCCACCAGTGGCAACCTCGCGCTCAGCACTGGGTGGAGGACGCAGTCTACCACAGGGTCCATAAGGTGGGGGTTGCTAGGCTTCGTGCATGCATGCATGCATGGGAATTTGTCAAAGTCTACATGATTTTGCAGTGCATAATACCTTCCTAATAGTCATGCAAAGAAAGTTATTTTTCCAAAGAATACTTTTTGGGGTGGAGCGAGGAGGGAGTATGATTTGCCTGAGTATGTGTAGTCATCTTCAGGCTTCTGTTAGATGACCAAAAAGAGAAAAACATAGCAGCATTCCACTAGATGGTGCTATACTGGACTAATTCATGAAGCATGGCTAAATTAGGTTGGATGTGACCCTGTCTTTCCCAGCATATTTTCTCAGTCCTTTTGAAATAATTTGGATTTAGCTATACTTGAAATGAAAGATACCTGACAATTAAGAAAATTTTTCCATTCTAGTGTTAATCTCCACTTCTGATTCTATGCACATTTCTATTCAAAGCAACTTGACAACAAAGTGAGGCTCAGGCCCAGAAAGCACCAGAACATATTGTGTTCTTAGCAAAAGATTTGTTCCTTTTTTCTATTTGAATTAATGTCGTAGTCAGGTGATTAATAACACTACTACTGGGTTGCAGGTATAAACAAAACTGATATAAAACTCTTCTAACTTTAATTTCTTCAACGCTCTACTGACTAATAGTCAGAGATGAGTTTTGTGCCTACCCTTGGCATTCTGAGGTATTAAAAAGGCAGAAGTTGGGATATTAAAATACTTTCCAGAGCTCTGTGATACAATAATGTGCTCCAAAGGGTAGCCCTATATAGCAGACCCTTGGAGCTCTGATTACACGGCATTTAGCAAGGGAACTTGGCTATTATACATCTGGATGACTGGGCAGCCTCGTGTCAAAATGAGCAGTTCTAACGGCTCATTTAAGCAATTATCTCCTAACTGGGAATTTGTGAGATTCACAATCTACTGAACTTTTTAATCATTTGGGGAGAAAAAGGACACAAATATCATATCTTTTATAAATATGCAAGTTGGTCTACCAGTATGGATGAGCCAAGGGAAAGACCACCCACCCTGCAGTTGCTATAAGTGGTTTTTTTGTTTTACTATTGTTGACCGTCATCAGAGCTAGGCTTAGTTATATAGCAAAACTGTAAGCCACCCTCAAGGGTGCTGGGGGTGGTAGTCAGCAATGGGTAGACGGTGGGTGGAGGGAATTACTGCATTACCCACAGCTCCAATCCTATTTAAAGCACTGTCAGAACATAAAGACAAGTAAGATGGTCTCAAAGGTGGCTAGAGTTAGGCAAAGAACATGTAAATTGAAAGTCAAAGATAAAAGTAAACAAAATGGAAGAAAAACCTATCCTCGTGTATTTACCATATACCTCTATTAATCAAAAAATATTAAAAACACAATAATGCATTTTTTCCCATATTTTCCATCAAAATAATGGAGAGGAAGCATGAGCACAAGTGAATCAGCCAGCACATTGGGTTGTTAAAGCAAGCACAAACTTCCACTCGACAGTTTTGCCTAAGGGCAGGGCCTGACTATAAAGTGTATTTCCTTCAAAACTCAGTAGAAGCCATTATTTTTCTTTGTATAATAGAAACATCTTGGTAAAAACCCTTTTCAAGCCAATTCAAACTATAACAACTGATTTAAAGATTTAAAGACAGTGAGAAGCAGGAGGGAGAATGGCGGAGGGGACCCCGCCAGTGGTTGGTATTTCCAGCCAGCAGTTGGTGCCAAAAACAAACGACTGTTTAGAATTGTAAGTTCAGTCCCATTGATGTACCTCAGAGATTTCCCTAGGATCTGTATCTCCCCTGTTGCAGAGAAACAATTCCTAAATTATCAAGTGTTCCTGCTTTGGCTCCTTTCTACTCCCACCCACAAGTTAACATACATTCTGTGAAGAAAAAAAAGTTTCTCAGTAAAACACATTTGAAAAACATTACATGCTCTATAACCTTCGTAGAGATTTCTGGTGCACTTGGGCATATCAAACAGTATAAAATACTCTGAGAGGTTCTGGAAAAGGAAAATCTGTATTTGAACTTAGCATTCCCAAATTTAAATCCTCTTCTCCATCCTCACCTCCACCCCCACGAATACCTATTAGCATTTCTTGGGCCACTGGCATTCTCTAATAGGATGTTCACAAAATGCTATTCCACGGAGAAAAGTATTACATCCTCCTGCCACATGGAAGGGATTGTGACGATTGAGAGGACTTACCAAAAGGATCTACTTAATGTCCTGAGAGTTCAGATTTTTGCTTAAATTTGGCTTCTTGGTACAGTTGTTTAGCTTTTGCCCTATCATTCTCCTAATTGAAACATCATCTGTGTTGGGAAATAACTGTTTTGTGACTCCTGTAAAAAACAACAATAACACACAGAAACCCTTTTTGAGGCCTTTGCATCTTAGGGTATGAACTGAGATAAAACATTAAGCAATCCACAATGTAATTTTGTCTCCATTTTGCAAAAGGAGCCCAAACTTCCATGAGAAATGGCATATTTAAAATACAGAGAGCTCAGATTCAGTGATTCCCTAAATTTTTTGATGTTTGCAAAAAATTATTTGATATCTAGATTATTACAGTTGAGGAGATTCATTAACTTAAACACCCTAAGTAGGATTAAGGAGGGCATGTGATGTAATGAGAACTGGGTGTTACATACAAATGATGAATCACTGAACTCTACCTCTGAAACTAACAATATACTATATGTTAATTAATTGAATTTAAATAAAATAAAATTAAATTAAAAAAACTCCATAAGTAGGAAATCAGCCCCTATTTTTCTAGACTAAAAGATAAGGGATCTAGAACCAAGATAAGAAAGAGAAAATAAGATATAAACTGTTACTGAAATTTTGTTTGAAAGGATTTTGAAATGCATTTTTCTGAAGTTATGAATTTTATGAATTCCAACATTTCAGTGAAATAAAATTTAGTTTTATTTTAGTAACTGCTCTAATGTAATTTTTTTCTATAAAATTTACCATATTTAATAAGAGGTTTAGGCTCTCTTGAGATTTTTCTTTTACAGAAAAATAAACAATAAAAAGACCATGAAAGAATAACTTAACCTTGAATGGTAAAATAATTTCAAATTCATGTGACAATGTAATACAATCATATTATACCTATGATTTCTTGAACTTCATTCTGATTCATAGCTGGTTTTACGGCTTTGTCCCTCGAAGTAGAGGACTTCGCCCCGGTCAGGCTGTGTGTGGCCATATACTCATTTGTGTAGAGTACTTGCATTAAATCATTAATGAACTTCTGAGGCTTGCTCTTGTTACAACGGGCAATCTGCCATTTTTCAATCTTGAACTGAAAAAATACAAAATAATAATTGAAACTGGAAAAAGAAAAGGAAAGTAGTATCTGGAGAAATATTTTACTAATTGAGTTAAGACAAAACAGAAAACAAACTCAACATTCTTGGGGTGCCTGGGTGGCTCAGTCGTTAATCGGCTGCCTTCGGCTCTGGTCATGATCCCAGGATCCTGGGATTGAGCCCTGCATCGGGCTCCCTGCTCCACGGGAAGCCTGCCTCTCCCTCTCCCACTCCCCCCGCTTGTGTTTCCTCTCTCCCTGTCTCTCTCTCTCTCTGTCGTATAAATAAATAAAAGCTTTAAAAACAATAACAACAAAACAAAATCAACATTCTTTAAGGGGATGTATTTTACTTTTAATACATATTTTACATTTCAGGGGTTAGAGTTTGATGCTTCCTTTGGTACAATTCCTAATATTTATGAGGTATTTGTTCCAGAGTATATACAAGCTCTTGTCATGTGATCTGGATCGGATGGTTTAAGGAGGAGTCCCACCCTCAACACCTCATACTAAGTGTGGTAGGCAGAATAACGGTCTGCCGAAGATACCCATATTCCTGGAACCTGTGGATCTGTGACTTTACGGGGATGTGATCAAAGTTAAGTACCTTGAGATGGGGAGATTATCCTGGATTATTCAGGTGGGCCCAATTTTATCACAGGAGCTCTTAAATGCGCAAGAGGGAGGCAGAAGATTGGGCCAGAAAAAAGAGGCAGAAGAAGGACGACAGATTGGAAGAGTGAGAGGGGCTTTGCCTCCATGGCTGGCTTTGAAGGTGGTGGAATGGGCCATAAATCAGAGAATGTGGTTGCCTCCAGAAGTTGCCTCTAGAAGTGGGTTGCCTCTACAGTCAGCAAAAAAATAAACTCAGTTCTACAACCACAGGAAATTGAATTCTACAATAACCTAAAGAAGCAGGAAACAGGTTTTTCCATAGAGCCTCCAGAAAGGAATGCACCTGCTGACCCCTTGATTTTACCACACTGCAGACCTACAGAACTCTGAGATAATACATTTGTGTTATTACAAATCACTAAGTTTGTGGTCATCTGTGACATAGCAAAAGGAAACTGATATACCAAGATTCAAATATTCTAAACGTTAGATTGTTAGTATTTAATTATTGCTCTGGAAGGCATATTTTCCAAAGCTGATACCCGATTCTAATGGAACTCTTGTCTTTTTAGCTTCTGTTTCTTGAAGAGAAATTGGGGAAGTAAGAAAAGATTATATTCTTCCAGCGTGCAGAAGCTTAAATTTACCTTCACTCAATGATATAATTTTGTAACCCTCAATGCATAGTTATTCATCACTGATTTAAGAATTTTCTAGTTTAATAATTTCATCATTGACCACAATTTGACTTTAGTTTTCTCAACTGGATATTTGTGAAACAAACTTTTTTTGATTTATTGTTAAAAAATTGTTTTATGTAATTGCAATGTTATGGTCATGACCAAAATTTACCTAAAGTTACCTGATAAAACAAGGATCATTTTGTAGTCTTTTTTTAAAAAAAATTTATTTTTAAGTAATCTCAACACCCAATGTGGGGCTTGAACTCACAACCCTTAGATCAAAATCGCATGCTCCACCGACTGAGCCAGCCAGGTGCCCCATCATTTTGTTGTCTTATTTTAATTTTTGTATTTACTGTATCCCAGAGAAAGATAGGGCAGGCGTTCCAACTGACCTGTTTCTCATCAGTATGATGCTCTTCTTCAGCTTTCAAGGAAATCGGTGAACTGGAATTAGAGTTAGAATTACTGCACGTAGAGGCAAAAGAATCTGGTGAGGAGTTGTTTGTTGCTCTCCAGAGGGTGGATGCAGCTGTGGACATGGTTCCTCCACCCTTAAGCAGAGCCTCTGCCATACCAACCAATTCTTCAAACTGGGTGACTGCTTGTGGTAACACTAAAATGGCAAGAAAAAGTAACACTTTACAAATATTTTTAATAACAGGGGCATGTATTCCTATTTTTTATTGTGTATATATACATATCATATTGCATGTATAGAGTGGAGCAAATTATTAACATTTACTACTTTTGGAAAATAAACATGGTAAGAAGAGTGGTTGGGATATATTTACTTTTTATTATTTAATTTAATAATGGCTTAATAATAAATCAATTAAAAAGCATTTGGTTGTTGCATTTAAATGTATATGTATTACTTCATAACTAAAATGAATGGTTTAAAGAGTTGATTCTTTTTTCTAATTGCTAATAGTATTATTTGAAGGTTTTTAATCTCATGAGGAGACATTGTTGATTCTATCATCAATCACCTTCCAGATATTCATATCAAGCCAGTTTAAATGGCCATTAAAACAAACCATTTCCATTTAAATTTACTAAAATGCATTTTCAGTGACCTTTGTGTGTGGTTTTCCGTGGAGTCACATTTCATCAAATTAACAAAAATTCATTGCCACGATTCAAAACTATGTTTTCACATATTAAGGATGAATTTTGGTAATCAGCTGAATGTTCTCTTTGTTCCTCTTCTTTTTATTTAAGATCTTATTTATTTATTTGACACAGAGAGAGAGAGCATGAAGGAGGGAGAGGGGCAGAAGGAGAGGGAGAAGCAGACTCCCTGCTGAGCAGGGATCCCAGGACCTGAGTCAAAGACAGATACTTAACTGACTTAGCCACCCAGATGCCCGCTTTGTTCCTTTTTTTAATGGAAACTTACACATTCAAAGGTTCATGCCTCCATATAAGATGGTCTTCTCTATTTATGGTTATATCTAGTTTGTTTCCTAAGGACAAATAGCATTTTGTTGGAGTTGGAAGACACTTTGAGCCCTCTCTGATTCAACTCCTCACTGTATGGTTAACGGTACTGGCTGCTGGAGAAGTAACAAGACTGAAACTTTTTTCTTAAGCATATTACTAAGCTATAATCTTTGGACTAATATTTGATGTGAGAGCTGAAAATCAGTAGCTAAAGGGAGTTGAGTTTGACAAAATGATATATCCAGCTAATGCACACCCAACAAGATATAGAACATCTCCACCCTCCCAGAAATTTGCCTCATGCCCCTTCCAAGTCAATCCCTGGACTCACTTTAGAGGCAACCACTGATTTGACTTCTTTAGCCAGAGAAAATTTTGCTTGTTCTAGAATTACATATAAATGGGTTCAAATAGTATATTCTGGGTTTTTTTGGTCTGACTTTTTTTTTTTTTTTGCTATGGATAATGCTTTCAAATTCCTTCATGTTGTCGTATGTATCTGTTATTCATTCTTTTTTGTTGCTGACTAATATTTCATTATATGGATACTCCACAATTAAAGTTTCATTCACCTGTTGATGGGTTATTTTCCAGTTGAAAACATGACTTTAATGGTTCCCTAATATTCTAAGGTATTGATGTTTTATAATTTATTTAAATGTTCTCTTTTTTTCAAATTTAGGTTGCTTCCAATTTTTCTTATTCATTTATTTGTTTGTTTGAGAGAGGGAGAGAGAGCAAAGCAGGGAGGGGCAGAGGGAGATGAGAGAGAATTTTAAGCAAACTCCGTGCTGAGCACAGAGATGACTTAGGGCTCCATCCATAGACCCTGAGATCATAACCTGAGCCAAAACGAAGAGTGGGTCGTTTAACTTACTGCGCCACCCAGGCACCCCGCTTCCAATTTTTCTTTATTACAAACAAAACTCGTATGAACCGTCTAGCACATACATCTTTGTACGTATCTCTGATCACAGTGCTACAAATTCCTGAAAGCATAATAACATGATCAAAAGTATAAATGTTTTCTGACCTCAACTAATACTGCTGAATTGCTCTCCAGAAAGATTCTTCCAACTTACATGGCCACCAGCAATGTAAGAAGTCAGCCTTTTCTCTACACTATCAACAGGTGTTAGTCATTAACAATAATCTTCACTACTTTGATAGGTTGACATCTTAGTAAAATTTAAATTGCAATTATTTTATTCTTGTGAAGTTAAATATATACTTATTTATTGACTATTCGAGCTTCTATGAATTATCTATTAGACCACAGAATATTAGCAGCTTTTTTTTAAAGTAATCTCTATACCCAATGTGGAGCTTGGACTCATGACCCCCGAGATCAAGAGTTGTATGCTCCACAAATTGCCAGCCAGGTGCTCCTAGTATTTTTTCTATTTTTAATAACTTGGATAGTTTTTGTAAAGTGTGCCTAGTGTATTATAAGCACAGTGTGTTACTCCCTTACATATTAAGTATTTTAAAACTTTTATTTGCCGTAAGTTGCAAGTATTTTTCTTAGAGTTTTTCTTTGTTTTAAAGATTTTATATATTTATTTGACAGAGACACAGCGAGAGAAGGAACACAAGCAGAGGGAGTGGGAGAGGGAGAAGCAGGCTTCCCGCTGAGCAGGGAGCCCGACACGGGGCTTGAACTCAGGACCCTGGGACCATGACCTGAGCCGAAGGCAGACGCTTAAAGACTGAGCCACCCAGGTGCCCCGAGTTTTTATCTTTTAATTTCACAATATTTTGAAAGCATACACACATTTTTAGTTTTTATTTTAAAGTAGCAGTCTTTTCTTTAGCTTATTATTCATCTATTTTATGCTTAGAAAGTCATTCACCCTTCAGATCAGTAAAATAGTCATATATTTTGTCTAGTTCAAATATCTTTTTACAAGTCAGATTTTTTCTGCCTGGATATATTTTTTTAACTTCTAATGGATAATTTTAAACACAAACAAAAATTGTAAACTCCCATATATCCATCCCCCAGTTTCAACTCACAGCCAGTCTTGTTCCATTGATACCCCTGTCCGTTTTCTCCCCAACCACAAGAATATACTTCAAGCAAATCACAGGCAGCATCTTGTTTTATCTGTAAATATTTCTATATGTATCTCTAAAGGTAAGAAATTTTAAAAATATAAACATAACAATATTGTGACACCCAGAAAGACTTATCAGTAATTTTTCAATATATCATTAAAAAAACCTAGTAAATGTCCAAATTTCTCTGATTTTCTCATTGTTGTTGTTTTTACTTTATTTAATCAGGATCCAAATAAGGTCCATGTTACAGTTACTATCTCTCGGGGCGCCTGGGTGGCTCAGTAGTTAGGTGTCTGCCTTCGGCTCAGGTCATGATCCCAGGGTCCTGGGATCGAGCCCCTCATCGGGCTCCCTGCTCAGCGGGAAGCCTGCTTCTCCCTCTCCCACTCCCCCTGCTTGTGTTCCCTCTCTCTCTGTCAAATAAATAAAAAATCTTTAAAAAAAGCAACAAAAAACTAGTTACTGTCTCTTTTAAAAACTACAGGTTTTTTCTCTCTCTCCTAGTTTTTTTCCTTGGAATTTATTAATTGAAGAAACTGGGCTATTTGTTTTACAGGGTTTCCCACAGTGGGATTTTGCTAATTGTATATTTATTTATTTAAGAGAGAGAGAATGAGAGATAGAGAGCACGAGAGGGAAGAGGGTCAGAGGGAGAAGCAGACTCCCGGCTGAGCAGGGAGCCCGATGTGGGACTCGATTCCGGGACTCCAGGATCATGACCGGAGCCAAAGGAAGTCGCTTAACCAACTGAGCCACCCAGGCGCCCTTGAATACAATTATGAACTCATGCATTTATTTTTATTTTTTTAAAAGATTTTACTTATTTGACAGAGACACAGCGAGAGAGAAAACACAAGCAGGGGGAGTGAGAGAGGGAGAAGCAGGCTTCCCGCTGAGCAGGGAGCCCGATGCGGGGCTCCATCCCAGGACCCTGGGATCATGACCTGAGCCGAAGGCAGACGCTTAACGGCTGAGCCACCCAGGCGCCCCTGAACTCATGCATTTATATATATATATGATAACCAGCTGTCGTTATCATTAGTATTTTTATTGGAATTCCACTCAAAGTATTAGTTATTTGGGGATGAATTGGCATCTTTCTCCACTGAGTTTTTTATTTTTCTTCATTGATCACATACATTTCTTGTTAGGGTTCTTAGTCGGTATTTTATAGTTGTTTGTAATTAATGTGACTAAATTCTGTTTTTTTCCCTAAGAAAATAACTCGAAATTTCTGATCTATAAGGAAATTACTGATTTAAAAAAATAGTAGCTGCTAGATTTGGGGCACCTATTATATAATATTCCTTTATCAGTTTTGAAATAAAATAAGGCTTATAATGAATAACAGTAGTTTTCTGCCCTATCACTCACCACTCTTGATTACCACTCTTCGAGATCAGCAATTCCAACTCATTTACCTGTTTCTTCTGGTACTTACTTTCATAGTCTTAAATAATAATATGCATATACAACTGTTTATTGATTTTTCAGATCCATATAATTATTTACTGATTTTCTTTTTTTTTTTTTAAGTAAGCTCTACATGCAACATGGGGCTTGAACTCACCACTCTGAGATCAGGAGTCACATGCTCTATGACTGAGTAAGCTAGGCACCCCTACTTCATGATTTTCAACTATGTAATATGACAATATTGTTCTCTTTCAACTCCTCTCACAGCCACACAGAAATACACATACCTGCTACACATGCAAACATACACACACTCTTCTCATCATCCCAGAATAGTGGTAACACAATTGTTAAATAAATATTATGCTTACATTATTATAGTGATGTAAATATTATTCACAATTCCTTTTCTTTAAAACATGATTTTCCCCCCTAGAGTTAATAATTACCTTATTATTATTATTGTTTACACTGTTTCACTCTAAATTTCTATACAACTCTAAACTTCCCATCAGAGGTGTAAAATCTCTTTTCAGTCTATTTGGATATATCATGTCATCTGTCAATTTCATATTTTTCTGGGAGCTGTCTCCCCTGGAGCCCTCCGTACTCCTCCACAATCTGGACTAGCTGCTTCTAGCCTACTGTATACTTTTCATCCTGGAGCTTCCTTCACTATCATTTGATGACTCC